GGAAATAGTAGGTTATTAGTTTGGACTTTGTAATTTTTAGTTCTTTGAATGAAATTTATAATTTCTCTTGTAACTATATAGCTTTTGTCATCTTTCTGGGATATAATATGAAACCGGTATGGAGAGCAAAATCATAAAAATTACACAGTTCTTAAGAAAAAGTGAAAAATTTCTCCAGCTGCATCTAGCATCGGTGCTGAGTCTAGATAGTACCCATGAAATTTATCCTTCAAGTTACTGCTAATTTGGGATCACATTTGATCATTTTTTTTCTTTTTTATTTCGGCATATTATGGGGCTATAAATGTTTAGGTTACATACATTGCCCTTGCCCCACCCTACATTGATCATTGATCCCCCGTGAGGGAAATGTACCATTAAAACTATCTCCGTTTATGAGGTTTCTCATTCCTTTAGGGAAGAGATTTTGTGGCATTTTTTCTCCATAAATGAGTGGGCTGATCAATGAGAAATTTGAGGCACGTGACTACACCTACTAAATTAGCAGTTAAAAATCATTTGTATGATGGACAGGCTGAATCTTATTCTGAACACTGATGTTGTCAAAAGTATGCTATACTCAGAGTAGGTTAAATTCAGGTTAATATGTTTGTCTCTGACTCCAAGCAGGCTTTTATGCACTCCAGTCAACACTTTTACTGGATTGGACTCTCCTACAATGAAGAAAGTGGGGACTGGAGGTGGGAGAATGGCTCTGCTGTTTCCTGGGATCTGTAAGTTTCTAGGAGACGTTTTTGGTCTTTGTGAATTTAGCCTGAGATCTGACAACGGAAGGTAGCATCCAGGAGCACTGAAGCTATAATCATTTACCGAGGCCATGAGAACACAGAAAAAAGAGAGGTGCGACAGAATAACAATATCGGCTCCACCTAGAATATCTGAGTTTATGCACGAGTGTCATGAAAGTTGGTGAGCTTGTCATCATGAAAGAACTTTTGCCATATGCTTTATTTTGTCTTAGTACCGTACTTGGAGGTGTATGTACCTGTACAGATAGATGCTCACATAGACAGGGACAGCCAGAGAAAACGGTATATCCATTATTCTCTTTATTCTGGTGGAGCCCAATATTTTTAGCATCCCCTCATCTTTTAAATATCCTGGGCTTATTTTCTGTATATTTGTAAACTTTGAATCTCATTGTCATTCATAAATGTGGGGTTTGCAGCATCACACAATGTCAAAGTTTATGCTCTGGTTTGTTTTCCTAGACTAGATCAGCCGATACATCTTAAAATAGAGGTAAAGCATTTGATACATCAAATCTGTTACTGATGACCGCAAAAACTAAAAACTCCCTGGCCTCAGTGCTACTGATTAGTAAGGGAAGAACTGAGTGTTTTATGGTACTGCACTCTAGATTCATGAGAACTGTGGTTATTGAACGAAAAAAATAATGATTCAACATGTTAATATTTTACTTAAATGCTTTTAAAATTCTGTAGTTTAATAAAAAGATCACCCCCGAACATCTCACTTCCTTTCCCCATATATTAACATTTTCTTCTGCATTACAGATTTTCATCATTTGAAACTCTTGATAAAAAGAACTGCATAGCATATAAGCCAATGAACGGTGCTATGGATGAACCATGTGAAAGAGAAAATCATTACATCTGTAAACAACAGCTTATTTAAGTGCTTCTTGGGACAGAGAGGTGGGGAGTACAGATCCAGGATTACTATGACTAGTATTTTTACCTCATATCATTACTATTAATAATTATCTATTTCTTAGTTCTCTGAAATGTTTCAAACTATCTTATACAATTTTCATATATTTGAAGATATGTGTTTTAAAATTGATGAAATTAATTGCACTATATACCTGAAATTATAAAGTGCAAGATAAATAAATTTATGAATATTTTGTTGCATTTTAATGCGTGCGATTTATATAAAATTCAATATAGTTTCAGTGCACATTTGTGTGGTTTTCATTACATCCTTATAAATTCTCTTGGCAGAAATTTAAATAAAATTTAATTCACACTAAATAATATATATCAACATCACTTCGGTCCTTTGTATGGCACACTAAATTGGGAAGTTGCCGTCTCACCCCACTTTTTGTGAAGTAAGAATAATGTTAATATCCTTTATCGATATGTATATATCAATATATATATGAATATCTGTATACATATATATCTGTATGTTTTAATTTGGAGCTGAAAGTGCCGTATGACAATCTTCTCACATTTGCCACCTGCTGCAGAGAAGAACACACTTGTATGCTTGTGCTTCAGTGAAGGAGTCACTTACATGGACAATGATAATCTTATTCCCTTTTCTAAAAGTTATGTGTCTAATACGGAACAATTCCCTTTTTGGAGGGGAGGGGCCCTCCATTTCACTGCAGGGTTTCTGAACATGTCAAAGAAGGGGTGGGGACAGCGCTGAGTTCCAATGCTGTGACTTGGATGGGATTGTCCTGATGTCACTGCTATTGAAAACCAACTCCATTCATAACTGTCACATGTATAAATCCTAAGAAATTTATATTGGCGTCTCTATTTGCTTTATAGTTTTATATTTCGATTAAATGGCAATAATTAAGAAGAAAGTTGTTTGTAATATACAAAGGCCCAGAAGAGGAAAGGGCCTCCTAGAGAGAGCACAGAAGCTGTTAAGTGTGTTGAATGATGTCTAATTTCAGAGAGAAATTTAGGCCAAGAATATTTTCCCCTGTGAAAAGAAAATTCCAGTTGCCTCCCAATTGTAGCTCAGATGCTATCTTTCAGTTCCTACATAATTTCAGGGCTTTTTGATGGAAGGTGTTGGCTTGAATGGGGGATACTGGTCACCCAAGGGTGTGTCTTTCTCACAACATGGTGCTATCACACGAATCACGCTCAGTCCAGGCCCATCTGACCTGTTTCATTTTTACTATTCTTCCTCCCACTCTTCCCTGCATTCTGCTGTTCTTCATCCTGAAAATATCTTTGTAGTCTTTGGGATGGGAAAGACTTCTTTCATATATGAGTTAGTACCAAATCTCTTTTTATCCCCTCTGATATAAGATTTCTGATATATTCTCTGGGGAGAGACACATTATTCTTCTTTTGCTCTCTGTTTTTTTTTTTTCGTTTTGCTATGAAATGGGCTAATGCACATGGAAGGATCCAGTTGAGTGACACCCTATATGTTGTATATAGAACACAAAAGAGTCAGTAAATATGCAAAACACACACACAATAGCAAAACAGAATTGCAACAGTCAGTTTATATTTCCTTAATTTCATCTTGATGCCCTGAAGATATTATCCTAATGGTATGCAATATTTGCTATATACTGTTACATAACAAATTATCATAAAATTACAGACTTAAAACAACACGTTTACTATCTCACAGTTTCAGTGGGTCAGGGATCTGTCATAGCTGAGGTTTCCTTCCTTGCGCAGGGTCTCACAAGGCTGGAATCAGGTCTTCGCCAGGCTGCATTCTCACTTGAAACTCGGAGTCCTCTTCCAAGCTTATTCAGGTTGTTGACAGAATGTAGTTTCTGTGGTTAGAGAACTGAGACCCTCAGTTCCCAGAGGTTGCCCCTGTCCTTAGGCAGTCACACCATGGCTGCTTGCCTCTTCAAGGCCAGAAAAAGAACATCTCTGACTTCCTCTCTCTCTACTTTTACAAGCTCTTTCAAAGTGTTCAGTTGATTACGTGAGGCCCACCCCCGAGGGACAAATCTTTCTTTTGATTAAGTTAAGGATTAGGAATCTCAGTAGCATGGAAACATGTTAACCTGGAGGGTCTTTTTGGAGAGTTTACAACTATAAATTCAATTTTTAAAATACTCCTAAGACTATTAAGGCCATCTTTTTCATCTTGGGAGAGTTTTGGTAGTTTTTGGTTTTTGGAAAATTCGTCCATTTCATCTGTCGAATTTATGAATACAGTTGCTTGTAGTACTCCACATTATGCTTTGAATGTTTGCATAAACCCTTTTTCATTCCTGATATTGTCTCTTTTCTTTTTTCTTTGTCAGTCTTGTTAGAGCTTTATCGATTTTATTTATCTTTTCAAAGAATGAACTTTTAATTTCATTATTTTTCTCTATTCATTTGACTCAAATTTTCTTCTAGGTTTTCCTTTTTTGTATTTTATTGATTTCTGCTGTTATCTAGTGTATTTTCTTCTTTTTGTTTGCTTTTGATTCAGTTTCTTCTTTTTTCTAGCTTTTTTTAAGTAAAAACATAGATTATTAATTTGGTATATTTCTTCTTTTCTAAGATAAACATAGTGTGCTATAAATTTCCCTCTAAGAACAATGTTAGCTGCATCACTTACATTTTGATATGCTGCATTTTCATTTTCATTCAGTGAAAATTATTTTATAATTTCTCTCAAGGCTTCATTGTTTCATTTCCAAATGTTTAGAGAATTTTCTGTTATCTTTTGGTTATTGGTTTCCAGTCCAATTTTATTATGATCAGAAAACATACTTTGTATGATTTTAATTCTTTTAAATTTGTTTAGGTTTTAACCTTTTCTCCCTTGGGTACCTCAGTTGGCCCAGTTTTAGTACGTCTCCAACCCCTCATCTTAGGACAGCATGACATCCAGTGTGTAGACTACATAGACATGTCCTCAGGCTGCCTGGACCACCTGAGCCTTCATTTCTTTGGCATGTCCAGCCCTTAGGTTTCCAACATCTGTTTCTCTTAGGCATCGTCTATGTGCTCAAAATCCTGTCCCCAGACAGGATGATCCCCAGGTTGGCGAGTGATCTCTGCCATCTTCTAAATAGTCAGAGACTTTTAAGGGTCTGGTTCTGTCCTTGCATGGCTTCCTGAATGCTGAGGTATGGGTGACAGTGCAGGCAGTGAAGAGCCTGCAGAACATCATCGACCACAGGCAGGGCAAGGGCATCAAGAGAATCTTCTGCAGCATCTGCCTGCATCTGCATTCCCTCATCAATGAGGTATGTACCTAAGTCCCTAGGACCCACCCACTGGGAACAATACGGGATGGGGTTGGGGATGAACTCTGGGGCTTAAATAAGGGTATTGGGCTAGGCAAAGGGCCTGTGACCCAAGGCTGAGATAATGGAGGGACAGACAGAAGGAGACTGGCCACATGTAGCAGTGCACAGGACATGTCCCAAGGTGCATTCTCTACCACATCCAGACACAGCACACACCTCCACTTACTCTTTCTCCAGAAATTTCCTTGAAGAGCCACTGGACCAACAACCGAAGGCTAACATAAAGTTGGTGGTCACTCCAAGGATCTTTTCCTCCAGACTCCGGTCGTGAAGTGAAGGAGGAGAGAAGTGATGGCTCTACCCTCCTCCCAAATAATACAGGGACCTTAGAAGGCTAGGGTCCTTGTGGAGAGAGAAATCTGAGACTTGGAAATTTGGACTAATAGAACAATATCAACCCCACCCATGACTTGTCCTCCTTACGAAACATGCTGTCATAGAGCTGGAGGGAACTTAATATCTCTGACACAGGCTGATAGTACTCCTGGTGAGGCCTTTGTAACTTTTTCAACTTATGAACCTTGGAATGGAATTATATTGGTATAGGTCTCATTTACTCTATGACCCTGCAAACTCCTGAATGGCTAGGTCAGTGTCTGACTTGTCCATCTTTCATTTACTTTTAAAATTCAGCATGGATACTGTCAGGAGTTGTGGTCTAAGGAGAAAATATTAAGCATTCACCAACTGCACAAAGGCAGCCTGGCAAAATGGAAATCGCACCTATGCAGGGGTCCTAATACCTGGGTGCCAAGTGCTGCTTCACTATTCGCCTAATCGTATAAACTGAGGCCATATACTGAGGCAGAGTTCTCCAGTTTTATCACCTGTAAAGTTTTTTATTTTTTAGTATGTTCTCTTTTCTGTTCATTCTGTTCTATTCTTTGGAATTCCTTTGGATTTATTCTCCATGTTTCTTAATTTTTCTTTCATATTTTCCATCTCTTTGTTGACTTTGGAAGAATTCCTTGGCTGATTCTCCTTTTAAAAATTCATGCTTTAGCTGTGGCTAAATACTGCTATTTGATCAACCTATTGAGTTTTTATTTAACTTTTTTTTTTTAAACAGGCGCTCTGTATCTTTCTCTTCCATTATTCCATGCGGATACTACTTTACCCTTGCTCATATTGATTTATTTAAAATTTCAAAGTTTGAATGCCTAAACACCTTAAAAAATGAACTCCATATCTTTTTATAAAATCCTCTCTGGGGATTCTGTTTTACTTTCTCTACAGTTTTGTTCAGATTGTATTATTAACTTATGTCCTTGTATGCTAGGTCTTTTATTTCTTGAATATGGTTCCTCTCTTTTGTGGTGTTGATTTTCCTCAATGTTTGCTGATCCTTGATAGTGATTTCTGGCATTTTTGCACTAGAGATTCTCGGTGGGCCCTCTGTGAAAACAATGCCTACTATTGCAGCCTGATTTCAGTAATCACGGAGAAGCATCCAGGGATAAGTGGACAGTTGGATGTGCCAATAGCCAGTCTTTTGACTCTAGGGCTCCCTGCTCTTCTTGAGTGGTATCGGACACTCAGGAAACCATCCACTCTCTTTGGCCTGGACACCACACTCCCTGATCTGCTGGGATGTTCCATATCCCTGCTGCTTGGTAATTGTTAAGGGAGATAACAGGAGGGTGGGGTG